CATCCGGGTCTCCAGGCTCCTGGCTTCGACCTGGCCCCACCCCGGCCATTGCGTCCATCTGGGGAGTGAACCAGAGCACGGAAGACCTGTGTCTCTCCCCTCTACCTCTTAAATCAATCTTTAAAAGGAACAAGAACACCAAACCTTGCCGGGCGCTTGCTATCGCCTCGGTGGGTCCTGGCCCTGGAGCTGGCGGGAGCTCACCTGAGTGACAAGGCTGGGGAACCTTCCCCATCCTGGGTGGTCCTGGTACCCGCCCCCCCATGGACAATTAGCCTCCTGCAGGTCAGGGGCCGCCCCCTTCCCAGGGTCCCAGGGGACTCCTCCCCTGCCCTGCCCCTGGGGGGGGGTTGCAAACTCCCAGGGGGCTTCAGCCCACTCCTGGGGACCCCCCCCAGGCGCCTTTCTCACTCGTGTCTTTTTGACACGGCAGCCCCTGGCCACCCCGTGGGCCCCCTAAAGCCGCTCCTGGCTGGGGATGGGTTCTGGGGCTCCCGACCGCCCGGCCACCTGCTGGAGCCCTGTTTTGTTTTGACTTGGCTTGGCCGAGCCTCTGTGGGCTCCCGACCTCGCGGGGTCAGTCTGGTCGGACTTCGGGGAGTGGCTGAATCGATTTCGGAAATGTTTTTGCTTGGAGTCGCACAAAACAAAATAATCTGGGGGCGGGACGGGGGGGGGGGCTGTGCACAATTCTCTCTCCCGCCACTGTTTTGAAGGTGGTTTAGAATGATTTAAAAACTGTATCCAAGTAAGCCTGCAGGGGGAAAATAACTACACACAGATCTTAGGAAGTCAAATAGGAGTCCCTTAGGGGAAAGCTGTCCATTCTGGGGGGGGGGGGGGGGTGGATTCCGGGCGAGTTTCACTGGGGCTGGGAATGGATCCAAATTCCAGGGCTGGACCCCGGGCCGGCAGGGGTTAAACTGCCAAGCTCCTCCCCGGGCAGTGAGGTGAAGGTTTTTGAACATCACCCCACCGCGAGCCCCGCCCCTAGCCGGCTCGCCTAGAAAGGCTGGCAATGCCTCCGGCCCCGCGTGCACTCCTCGAAGCCCGACCGCCCGCACGCACGCTACGGCTGGGCTGCGGGTCCCGGAGCGGCACTGACGGCGGAGGCTCCCACGATGAGGACGGCGCGCTGGGTCCTCGGCCTGCTCCTGGCCGCCGCTGCCGGGGCTGCAGGTAAGGCTTGCTCCGGGCTCTGCCGGCCCACCGGAGCCGCCCTGGTCACTCATGGGGGCGCGGACAGCGAGGGATGAGGGCTGAGTTATCTGTGGGTGGGTGGGGACCACTCGGGGGACGGTGGCCGGAGGCCCTTCCCCACGGGCTGCAGAGCGCGCGGCCAAGGGCGCGAGGGTTTGGCGGAGTCTGCGGACTTGACAGCAAACAGGGACAGCTCGCCCTCCCGGACCCCGCGGGGTGCGGGCTTCCAGGTCTCCCTTGGGGCGGGATGCGGGGACCTCCACTCCCCCCCAACCCCGCCATCAGTCATCATGGGAGTAAAAGCGACTCGAGGGCCCGATGCACAGCTTGGAGGTCCCCGCGGGCTTTCTCTGGGGCCTCCCCCCAAAAAGCAGGGGCTACCACGGTGGCCACTGCGGCTTTGTGCGCCACTGCGGCTTTGTGCGCTCGGGGGACACCGACACCTCCCAGGGGCTGGGCGCCCCTCGCGTGCAACCGTGCCCAAGGCCACCGCCTCCCGCCCCGCCCCTCGGCCCCGCCCCCAGGATCCCATTGGCCGCCGTCCGAACAGGCGAGCCTCGAGCCACTCCCCTCGACCAATACGGAAGCAGAGGCGCGAGGGAGGCGGGGCCCGCGCGCGAGGGAGGCGGGGCGTGCGGGAAGCCGGGCCGCGCCTAATCCGGGGCGGCCTCTTGTCCGGCCAGGGCTCCTGTCACAAAGGAGGCGCCGGGGCCTGGGCTCCCAGGGCCGCTTTCGCAAGCGTGGGCGAACGGCCCCGCGAGCACGGGGCCGCGCCCCAAGCCAAGGTCGCCCCGGCCCTGGGAGGCTGCACGGTTGCCTCGGGAACCGCCCCGCGCGTCCTTGGTCTGCCGTGGCGAGGCGGGGACCGGGCCCAGCTCCCCGCGGTGGCCTTGCCCTTCAGAGGCTCGGCCCGGCTTGGGCCGCTCCCTGGCCATCGCTGGTGTTAGGAACGCGCCTCGGTTGCTGCTTATTTTTGCGGACTTCCATGAGCGGCCAGCCCTAGGTGGACAGACAGAGGCGCAATGGTCCCTTTCGCTACTTAGAGGCCAGCTCGGACGCCGGGCTTGGAGCCACTGGGGACCGCACTGGGGTCCGTCAGATGGCTGCAGGGACCCCGCAGTCACTTGTCTTCCACTGCCTGCTCCACTTCTTCCTTTGGGGGATGAGGACTTGAGCCCATCCTGGGGGGGGGGGGCTCAGCTTCCTTCCTCTGGGACCCTCCCATCATCCAATGAGCTCAAGATGATGGCCATCCCTCGCCCCCAGGAGCAGGGGACCCGAGGGGGCCAGGGAGAGGGGGCCGCCCCCACCCTATCCCCCTTTCTGTAGCGAGGAGGGGTCCACATTCCAGGAAATGGTTCGCTTCCCCTGGGCAGCCTGGGAGAGAGAACTTGGACAGCGCTCACCACCTCATTTGCGTGTGGTGGGGGGAAGCAGAAGCGAGGCTTCCGCTTGTGTTTCGATGACCTTGTTGGGGGCACTCACACATGGCCGCAGGGACCCAAGGGCGCAGCTTCCCCGAGGTCATTTTTTTTTTCATTTTGTTGGTTTTGTTTTCTTAAAGGGAGGAGGCACAGTGCTTACGCAAGTTTTCTTGAGTTTATTTACTGTAATAACTTGCAAAGGGGAGGGGGAGAGGGAGAGAGATCTTCCACTATCTGTTCACTCCCCAAATGCCCACCCCTGCCCCAGCTGGGCCAGGTCGAACCAAGGAACCTCCATCCGGGTCTCCCCGTGGGTGGCAGGGCCCAAGCGAAACACCTGCTCCCAGAAATATTGACAGCACCTGCCGGTCCTCAAAGGCCGCGACAGCGCAGTAGGACGCCGCCCGGGACATCAAGGCTAGCCACAGGCGGGCAGCCCATAGCAGCAGGGGGCGTCCCCCACTCCCACCCCACCCCTGTGTCTCACCGTTCGCAAGCTGAGCGGCTGCCCTCCCCCCCATCACTGCCAAGGCAATGCTTGAGAATTCTCCCCAGGCGCAGGCGTTAGGACACTGCCCGGGGACACTCACCTCTCACATCCGGGTGCCTGGGCCCCCGCCACCCACGGGGGAGACCCGGATGGAGCTCTGGGCTCCTGGCTTTGGTCTGGCCCAGCCCTGGCTGTTGCGGGCACCTTGGGGAGTGAACCAGAGAATGACCTTTCTCTCTCTCTCTCTCACTCTCGCTCTCTCACCCCCTCTTGGCAGTAACACGTGTGCTTCTCCGTGGGGTCAGCTGCGGGTGCGTGGCCCCCCAAGGCTGGGGCCGCCCCAGGATTTACTGCCCATGTCCCCTTGCTTGAACTTCCCTGTTTACTGGGGGGAGCCCGGGAACCCCAGCCGCTTCCTCCTCTGGTCTGGGCAGCTGTGAGTCACCCCGAGGGGGCGGGGCGGGGCCCCCAGGTGGGAGCTGGGGAGCACATCCGCCCCTGCGGCTGTCCGCAGGCCACTTCGAAACCCGCTTCTCTTCCGTCCTGTGTTCTTGCTTAATTAAGGCAGATTTACTCCGAGCATCAGCCGGCGAGAGCTTTGCCATTGCTGGTTCACTCCCCCAAATGCTTCCAACAGCCCCCCCGCTCCCACGGGGGCGGCAGGGGCCCAGGCACTCGGGCCTCCCAGGGTCTGCACTGGCCGGAAGTTAGCCAGGCTCGGACCCGGGCGTCCCGGGCGTGGCCAGCGCCCACCTGTCTGGCTGTGAGACCTAGGTCGTGGGTGGGGCTCCATTTCCTTTCCACGTTCGCCACGCTCTCCATTTTACAAACCGAGGTGCCCGTGGATTTAGCCACCTGCCAAGTGCTCCGGTTAGTGGCGGAATCCCGGGGCTGGCCATGTCACCCGCCGACCACACCTGGGCCGAGCCTCCGGCCAGGTGCCAGGAGAACGAACCATCGTCGGACAGATGGGCCCGGGAGCGGCCCCCTCTCCCAGAAACGCCACCCCCAGGGCTCCCTGGCCCACGCACGCGCAAATCCGTCAAATGGCCATCAGGCGCCATGTGGGACAGCTGCAGGTGGCGACAGTTAAGGAAGTAAACCAGAGGCGGCTAATCAAGTCTAACGCAGGGGCTGATCTAGGCAGGGGTGCTTCTCAGACAGGATCCCCGCGCGCTCAGCGCAGGTTCAAGGCCAAGGCCAGGGCTCGGGGACAGGCCCGGAGCACCCTGGGCCTCTCCCTGACGTCATCCATCATCGGGGGACTGCGCCCCAAGCCGCGGCGTGAGAGCCGAAGGTAGAGGCTGGGTTCTCAAACTCCGACACCCAGAAGCAAACCGCAGAAGCCCTCCGGCCCCGCGTTCCCTCTCAAAGACCACCCCTCCGGGACCCCCACCCACCCAGAGCCGCCGCCACGGGGACACACCGGCCGGCGCCGGCTCCCCCAGCCAGACCCCGATGTTGGGTGTGCGCATGCGCCTCCCCTCTGCGGCGGGCTCTGAGGTGTTCGGTGGGGACCCCCAAAGCTTACTGAACTCACAGTACCGAGGGCTGAACTCGGACCCGGCCGTGTGCCGACGTGCGGAGTCAGGGCCGTGGCGGGCTGCAGGCCTCGGGCGGGCGGCCCCGCTGTGTGGCGCAGGTTCTGACCACTCCCGGGGCCCGCGCCCGGCCGTCTTAACAACCTCTTAGCCTCTAAGGGCCGCACCTGCAGCCGCGGGAGGCGGGAAGTTGGCGCGGGGGTGTCGGGGTCCCTGCCCCCCACGTGGGAGACCTGGATTGAGCCCTGGCGTTAGCCTTGGCCCAGCCCGGGTTGTTAGGGGGGCGTGAGAACCAGCAGATTGGGCGTTGGGGGGTGGTGTGTCTTCCTCTGTCCCAAAGGAATAAGCATTCCAAGACTTATGTATCCGACAGGCAGAGTGGCGAGGGTCCTCCCCAAATGCCCACAACGGCCAGGGCTGGGCTGGGAAAAAGCCAGGAGCTCCATCCGGGTCTCCCGCGCAGGTGCAGGGACCCAGGCACTGGGGCTGTCCTCCGCTGCTTTCCCAGGCCACAGCAGGGAGCTGGGTGGGAAGTGCAGCAGCCAGGACTCGAACCAGCGCCCCTCTGGGGGCGGCGCCGGCCCCTGTGTGCCCAGGGCACATGCGTGGTGCTGAACCCCTCCCTCCCCATCGTCTCTCCCGCAGCAGGGGACAAGTGTGGCCGGAATGAGTTCCAATGCCGGAACGGGAAGTGTATCTCCTACAAGTGGGTGTGTGACGGCAGCTCCGAGTGTCAGGACGGCTCGGACGAGTGGGAGCAGACCTGCAGTGAGTCCTCCCACGCGTGGGCGCAGGGACCGGTCCTCCGCGGCTCTCCCAGGCCACAGCAGGGAGCGGGACCAGAAGTGGAGCAGCCGGGGCTCGAACCCGGGCTCTCTGCTGCGGGATGCGGGCGTCGGACCCACTGGGCCCCTGGCGGGACTGGGCCCCTCCTCCTGGGAGGTTCTGGGGTCCCCCCTTGCCTGGGGGGCTGAGCCGCGTCCTGTCCACCCCCCCCCCCGCCCCGCAGTGTCTCTCACCTGCAAGTCCGATGACTTTAGCTGCGGCGGCCGCCTGAACCGCTGCATCCCCGGGCACTGGAAATGCGACGGCCAGCAGGACTGCGAGGACGGCTCCGACGAGCTGGGCTGCGGTGAGTGGCCGGGGCCGCCCGCGTGGGGGGCCGGGGGGCCGGGGGACCGTGACCCCGGCCCGCCCCGCACTGACCCCTCGCCCGCCCCCACAGCGCCCAAGACGTGCTCCCAGGACGAGTTCCGCTGCGCCGAGGGCGCGTGCATCTCCCGGCTGTTCGCCTGCGACGGGGAGCCGGACTGCCCCGACGGCTCGGACGAGGCCTCGTGCGCGCCGTCCACCTGCGGCCCCGCCCACTTCCGGTGCAACAGCTCCTCCTGCGTCCCCGCGCTGTGGGCCTGCGACGGCGAGCCGGACTGCGACGATGGCTCCGACGAGTGGCCGGCGCGCTGCGGCGCCCGCCCCAGCCCGCAGCCCGGCCGCGGGCCCTGCTCCCGCCACGAGTTCCACTGTGGCAGCGGCGAGTGCGTGCACGCGAGCTGGCGCTGCGACGGCGACGCCGACTGCAGGGACGGCTCGGACGAGCGCGACTGCGGTAAGGGGGCTCCCAGGAAGCGGGTCGCGCCCCCACAGGCCGCCCTGGCGCTCTCCGGCCCCCGACCCCCACCCCGGCCGCCGGGCCCGGCTGCTCAAGTTCAAGTCCAGCGCCACCCAGTAGGGCCTGCCGTGGCGGGACTGTCCCCAGGCTGTGCCGTCCACCGGGGGCGCCGCTGGCCCATGTGGCCATTCGGTGCTTGAAGCCTCGCGAACGCCACTGGGGAACAGTTTTACAGTTTTCTGACTTTTAACGCGTGGCAGCGTGGGACTGGGTGGTGATGGGCTGGCCTGGAAGACGGCCTTGAACCTGGCTGGTGCTACGGGCTTTGGGACCACCCTGGATCCCGGGTGTAGGCGCCCGGCCCGGCCCTAGCTGTCGTGGGCCCCTGCCCGTGGGTAGCGGACCCCAGGATCAGGGGTGGGCTGTGGCGCTCTCTCTCCAGCTGAGCTAACCCACCCCTTTGTCGCCTCCAGCCGCGGCCACGTGCCGCCCGGACGAGTTCCAGTGCTCGGACGGGACGTGCATCCATGGCAGCCGGCAGTGTGACCAGCAGCAGGACTGCGGGGACATGAGCGACGAGGTGGGCTGCGTCAACGGTGAGTGCGCCCCAGGCCCCACCAGGGCTGCAGGTGCAAACCTGGCTGGGGGCGGAGGGTAGGCGGTGCTGGAAAGTTTTTGTTTAAAAAAAAAAAAAAGAAATTATTTATTTGGAAGGCAGAGTTGACAGCGAGGCACAGCCATGTGCCAATAAAACTTTATTGAAACCCACCAGCAGCGGGCCACGATTGGCTGGCCCCACTCCGGGTGATGGGTGTGGGTTCCTTAATTACTGCGTGTTTTTTTTTTATTTTTTTTTATTTTTATTTTTTTATTTTTTGACAGGCAGAGTGGACAGTGAGAGAGAGAGAGACAGAGAGAAAGGTCTTCCTTTGCCGTTGGTTCACCCTCCAATGGCCGCCGCGGCCAGCGCGATGTGGCCAGCGCACCGCGCTAATCCGATGGCAGGAGCCAGGAGCCAGGTGCTTTTCCTGGTCTCCCATGGGGTGCAGGGCCCAAGCACCTGGGCCATCCTCCACTGCACTCCCGGGCCACAGCAGAGGGCTGGCCTGGAAGAGGGGCAACCGGGACAGAATCCGGCGCCCCGACCGGGACTAGAACCCGGTGTGCCGGCGCCGCAAGGCGGAGGATTAGCCTAGTGAGCTGCGGCGCCGGCCATAATTACTGCGTTTTATCAGCGAACGTGCCGGTGTACGTCCTGGCGTGAATGGAGCACTCACCCTCCTGCCCGCTGTCTCCCGCAGTGACACTGTGCGAGGGGCCCGACAAGTTCAAGTGCCACAGCGGGGAGTGCATCTCCCTGGACAAAGTGTGCAACTCCGCCAGGGACTGCCAGGATTGGTCAGACGAGCCCATCAAAGAGTGCGGTGAGCCCTAGAGCACGGGCGGGGCCTGGGGCGGGACGGAGACACCAGCCCCCTACTCCCACCCCACGCAAAGCCAGAGCACGGGGGTGCAGCCTCCTGGGACCGGTAGCAGAGCCGCGGGCCTGGAACCGCCGCTGTGCTGGGGGGTGTGGGTATCCCACGCAGTGGCTCCGCCCGCCGCGCCGCACCACAGAGGGGCAGGAGGGAGTGACCGCTATGTGTCCCCCCCTCCCGGTGCAGCGACCAATGAGTGCATGCGGGGCAACGGAGGCTGCTCCCACACCTGCTTCGACCTCAGAATCGGCCACGAGTGTCATTGTCCCAAAGGCTACCGGCTGGTGGACCAGCGACGCTGCGAAGGTGACTTCCAGTCTCCAGCTTGCCCGGCTGTTTGCGTTGTGGGGGGCACACGGAGCACCGGCCCCCGTGGCTGCAAGGGGCGGGGAAGGGCACAGCCAGGGTCACTGTTGCCAGATGCCCTTGGCTGTTTGGGCTGGGTCCCTGCCAGCTCCCCGCCCCAGAAGCCCCCCTCCCCCAGCCTCTTCCTCTGTCTGCGCACACAGATATCAATGAGTGTGAGGACCCCGACATCTGCAGCCAGCTGTGTGTGAACCTGGCGGGCAGCTACAAGTGCGAGTGCCGGGCCGGCTTCCAGCTGGACCCCCACAGCCAGGCCTGCAAGGCCGTGGGTGAGCGCGGGGCTCGGGCAGGCCGGGGTGGCCGTGGGTGAGCCCTGGGGTCTGCGGGGAGGCCGGGGCTGGGAGAACCTGTGGGCCAGGGCCATAAGCAAGCTGCGGGCTGGCCAGGTCGGCTCAGCCCCCGCGGGCCAGCGAGTGAGCCCCTGGCTCTGGGGCTCGGCGCGCAGCCCAGGCTGATACAGCGGGGCGTGTGCCCCGGGGTTCGGGCGCGCCTGGCCGCCGGGGCCCTCCCTGACCCTCTGCACGCCCTCCCCCAGACTCCATCGCCTACCTCTTCTTCACCAACCGGCACGAGGTGCGCAAGATGACCCTGGACCGTAGCGAGTACACAAGCCTCATCGCCAACCTCAAGAACGTGGTGGCCCTGGACGCGGAGGTGGCCAGCAACCGCATCTACTGGTCGGACCTGTCCCAGCGCAAGATCTACAGGTGACGCCCCGCCCCGCCCCGCCGCCTCCTGGCCACCCCGGGCCGGGGGGGGGGGGGACGCCCCGGGGCCTGGGCCTGAGCCCCGTGCCTGCTTCCCCAGCGCACAGATCGACGGGGCGCACGGCTTCCCCGCCTACGACACCGTCATCAGCAGCGACCTGCAGGCCCCCGATGGGCTGGCTGTGGACTGGATCCACGGCCACATCTACTGGACAGACTCCGTGCTGGGCACCGTGTCCGTGGCCGACACCAGGGGGTTCAGGAGGAAGACACTGTTCCGGCAGGAAGGCTCCAAGCCCAGGGCCATCGTGGTGGACCCCGCGCACGGGTAGGCGGCGCCGGGGCGTGCCGGGGTTCGCGCTGCGGCCAGGGCAGAGAGCAGGCCTCACGGGCACCGCCTCTTCTGCCCCCCCCAGCTTCATGTACTGGACCGACTGGGGCGTCCCCGCCAAGATCGAGAAAGGGGGCCTGAACGGCGTGGACGTCTACTCCCTGGTGACCGAGGACATCCAGTGGCCCAATGGCATCACCCTGGGTGCGTGTGCGGGCGCAGGCAGAGGCCGGGCAGCTCCGGGCCCCGCCCCTGCGGCTCCTCTAGGCAGGGTGGGCGGAGCTTTTCTGGCAACTTCTCTGCCGGTCCCTCTTCTCTCGCAGGAGGCTTGGCTCGCTCGCGCCTCTGGCCTCTGGCAGCCCTGGGTGACTGCGTGTGCGCCTGTGTGTTCTAGATCTTTCCAGCGGCCGCCTCTACTGGGTGGACTCCAAGCTGCACTCCATCTCCAGCATCGACGTCAACGGGGGCAACCGGAAGACGGTGCTGGAGGACGAGCAGCGGCTGGCGCACCCCTTCTCTCTGGCCATCTTTGAGGTGAGTCCGGTGCGGGGTTGTCAGCCCCAGGCAGAACCACCAGGGGGCGCTGCTGGGCGCACGCAGCTTCCAGAGAGACGGTGCACAGCGACCCGCTGGGTGGGTCCCGGGGCAGGCGTCCCCCACCGGGGTGCCCGCTTCCAGCCCCGGCCGCTCTGCCTCCCGTCCTGTCCTGCTGACGCGCCCTGGGGGCCCTGCCAAGTGCCCGCAACAGCCAGGGCTGGGCCCGGCCAGAGCCAGGAGCCAGGAGCTCCATCTGGGTCTCCCCCAGGGTCGGCGGGGGCCACGCACTCGGGCCGCCGTCCACCGCTGTCCCAGGCGCGTCAGCAGGGGGCCGGGCAGGGCTTGAACCGGAGCCCAGGCGGGCAGCCAGTGTGGATGTCCGGAGGTGGCAGCTGTGTCCTGGGGCCACATCTCACGGGATTGCACTCCCCTCGCGCCCGTGTAGGACAAAGTGTTCTGGACGGACGTCATCAACGAAGCCATCTTCAGTGCCAACCGCCTCACCGGCTCCGACGTCCACCTGGTGGCCGAGAACCTGCTGTCCCCGGAGGACATCGTCCTGTTCCACAACCTCACGCAGCCCAGAGGTGAGGACGGGTTGGCCGTACCACCCCCCCGCGCCCCCCCCGCCGGTGCCCTGGAATGTTCTAGAATGTGCTCTTCCTCCGCAGGGGTGAACTGGTGTGAGAAGACGGCCCTCCCCAACGGCGGCTGCCAATACCTGTGCCTGCCGGCCCCACAGATCAATAGCCACTCGCCCAAGTTCACCTGCGCCTGCCCCGACGGCACGCTGCTGGCCGCGGACATGCGGAGCTGCCGCACAGGTCGGGGCCTGGGCCTCGCTCGGTCCGCACCGCTGGGCCCCGCTTAGCCTGTGTGTGTAGTGGGAGCACGAGGCTGTTACCAGGAATGCCTGTAACTAAGATTTAGGGACGAGAGAGGCGGAGGCAGGGAGAGAGGTCCCCCATCCGCTGGTTCACCCCCCACGTGGCCGCAACGGCCAGAGCTGGGCCGATCCAAAGCCAGGAGCCAGGAGCTCCATCCGGGTCTCCCACGCGGGGGCAGGGGCCCAGGGACTTGGCCACAGCAGGGAGCGGGATCGGAAGCAGAGCAGCCGGGGTGTGGGCAGCCCAGGCAGCGGCTTCCCCCGCTGCGCCACCACGCGCACTCCTGAGTGCCTGGCCGGGGACTTGGACCCGGCTGCTTCCTCCCCGGCCCCCCGTACCGCAGTTCAGGGCAGCGGCAAAGGTCAGACAGCGACGGGGCTGGAGGTGTTGGATGCCGGGAGTTCTCCCCAGCTCAGCCCTCCCTGCCCCCAGCGCCGGCCGCGCGGGGCAGGCACTAGCAGGTGTCCCCTTCGCAGCGTCTGTCGCGTGACCTCCTGGTGCCGGCCTGGGGCCTGCAGCACTGGGGAAGTGTCCTCCTGTCCCTTTCAGAGGCCGACGTGATCCTGAGCACCCAGAGGGCGTCGACGGCCGCTCGGCCGCAGCTCACGGGCAGCCCTGCCGGTACCACACAGGAGCCCCTGACCGAGCCCACGCTCAGCACCTTGGAGACGGCGACCACGTCCCAGCAAGGTACGGCCTGGGCCGCTCCCCTGCAGGGCCCCTTCGGGGTGCAGCCTGGGCTCCCTTGCAGGTCAGCTCTGACCACCATGGTGGGTGCCAGGGGCTAGGGGCTCCAGCGGCCACCTGTGTGGCACTGTGGCCGAGGTCGCCCAGTCTGGCTTGTGGGGAATCCACCTGTGCTTCGTCCACTTGTCCACTAGAGGGCGCGCCCCGCACAGGCAGCACGGGACCTCTTACTGTCCCCCACAGGGTAGCTGAAGCCTTTGTTTACCCTTAAAAAAGATGACCCGGAAACTTCTGGAAAAGCCACGCCCCAGACGACCCCGTCCTGGGTCCCCGGCTTCTTGGAGCTGACGGGGCCTCAGGCAGGGAAAACCCTTCCAGGATCCACTGCTGCCCTCAACTTTTTTTTTATTAAAGATTTTTATTTATTGGAGAGGTAGAGAGGGAGAGGGAGAGACAGAGAGAAAGGTCTTCCACCCACTGCCAGCAGCAGTTAGGGATGGGCAGGCCAAGCCAGGAGCCAGGAGCTCCATCTGGGTCTCCCACATGGGTGCAGGGGCCCCAGCAGAGAGCTGGACCGGAAGTGGAGCAGCCGGGACTTGAACCGGCGCCCATATGGGATGCTGGTACCACAGGTGGCAGCTTTACCCCCTGTGCCACAGCGCTGGCCCAAGGGTTTTGGTTTTGTCTTTGAAGTCTTCCAAACTTTCAATCCCAGTTCCCACGGGCTTTCCGAGGTCTCCTGGGACAGTGATGCACTGTGCCATGGACAGGATGGGCCGCCACCACCCCGCCAGCATCCCACGGGAGCGTCCAGCCCTGCTCCCTGCTGTGGCCTGGGAGGGCAGAGGAGGATGGCCCAAGTGCTCGGCCCCTGCACCTGCGTGGGGGACCCGGATGGGGCTCCTGGCTCCCGGCGGGCTCAGCCCGGCTGTGGTGGACATTTGGGGGTGAGCCCGTGGGTGGAAGAGCTGTCGTCATCGGTCTTTCAAATAAACGAAGGACTCTGGTCAGACGCCAAGTCCACGGGGGTTGTGTGGGTGCCGCGCCTGGGACCCTGAGCCCCGTTCTGGTCTCCTGGGAGGTTCTGCGGGCACCAAGGGCCAGGCCCCTCCCACAGCCCGGGGCCCCGAGCTCCGCCCTGCCTGAGATCCCAGCGCCTGTCCCCCCCGCAGCCCTGCACAACGCCGACGGCCGAGGCAGCGAGGGGACGCCCAGGAGCGTGGGGGCCCTGTCCGTCGTCCTGCCCATCGGTGAGTGCCGGCGTGGCATCGCCGCCCCCGTGCCCCGGTTGCCCGGTTCCCTGTGGGGGCCCCGCCGGACCGCCCCTCCCCCCGCCCCCGTGGGCCCCTCCTGCCTGCCCCGCCCCGCCCCCCCCTGGTCCTGTGGAAGAACTGGCGGCTCCGCAGCGTCCACAGCATCAACTTCGACAACCCGGTCTACCAGAAGACCACGGAGGACGAGGTGCACATCTGCAGGAGCCAGGACGGCTACACCTACCCCTCGGTGAGCGCGGGCGGCTACACCAGCCCCGGGGGAGCGCGCGTGGGGGGGCTGCTACACCTGCCCCGGGGGAGCGCGCGTGGGGGGGGCGGCTACACCTGCCCCTGGGGAGCACTGGTGTCTATACCTACCCCTCTGGGAGCGGTTACACCTACCTCTCGGTGAATGCGCGGGGCGGCTACACCAGCCCTGGGGGAGCACGGCCGGCTGCACCAGCCCTGGGGGAGCGTCTACACCTGCCCCTGGGGGAGCGCGCGTGGGGGGGGCGTCTACACCTGCCCCTCGGTGAGCGCGGGCAGCTACACCAGCCCTGGGGAGCACTGGTGTCTATACCTACTCCTCCGGGAGCGGCTACACCTGCCCCTTGGTGAGCGCACAGGGCGGCTACACCAGCCCTGGGGGAGCCCGCTCGTGGTGGGGGGCGTCTACACCTGCCCCTGCCCCTCGGGGAACACACGGGGCGGCAACACCAGCCCTGGGGGAGCATGTGGGGCTGGGGGTGCAGGGGAGGTGCCCGGCGTCTACACCTACCCCTGGGGGAGCATGCGTGGGGGGGGGCGTCTACACCTGCCCCTGGGGAACGCAGGTGTCTACACCTACCCCTCGGGGAGCGCGGGGCCGGGCACTCAGGGCCCCACCGCCCAGCTGATGCCCTGTCCCGGTGGCTGCCCCTGCCCACAGAGACAGATGGTCAGCCTGGAGGACGACGTGGCCTGAGCCGCCGCCTGGATCTCGCCGCCACCCGCGGGCCTGAGCCGCCGCCGCCGCCGCCTGCCCGGGCCGTGTTTTATATATTTATTCGCCCGGGATGGGGCCGGCTGCTCTCTGGACAGAGGGGGGCCCGGGCCTCCCTGCACTGCGCCCGCGCTCATCTCAGGAGCTCCGTGTTTACCTCGCCGGTTGCCCTTAACTGTCCGAGAAGTGCCTGCGCCCGCCCACGCCAGGTCCCTGGTCCCCGGCAGCGTGGGGCGGGGGCTGGGCGGAGCGCGGCCCGGGCGTGCATGGCGTTTTAGCTTTGCACCTCGCAAGCCGCGCGAGTCTGTGACGACATTTGCACTTTGTGCGTTTCTGGAGACGCTGAGCACATGTATAGAAATTATTTATTTTTGCTAACGCTGGCTGCTGTGTGCAGCGGCGCGGGGCCGCCCGTGGGGGGGTGGGGGAGGGCTCCGTGCCGCCTTTGAACCACTGTATAGAGAGTTTTTATAGCCTGAAGGGGTCCCTGTGGTTGATTAAACTTCTTTAACGAGTTATGTGGCTGAAGCGGCTGCTTGCTCACCGGCTGGGTCAGCTGAGGCTACACAGACCGCCCCCCGCCCCAGGCCCAGGGAGAGGGCCCTGGCCGGGACCAGGCGGGCTGCGGGGCCCACAGCCCTGGCCAGGGGCTTCTTGCTTGGGTCTGTGACTTGGGCTTTGCCCGTCCCCTGCTCTGCTCATCCATCCGACATGGCCAGACGGTCCACCAGGAATGCAGGTCCCCTGGCTGCCCACGGGTGGACAGCGGGCCAGGCTGCTGCCTCCAACCCCGGCGTCCTTCAGAGAGCCTGGAGTCCCGGCTCTGCTTCCGGTCCAGCTCCCTGCTAGTGCGCCTGGGAGAGCCGTGGACGGCCCAGTGCGTGGGAGACCCGGATGAAGTTCCACGCCCTGCTCCTGGCTGGAACCTGGCCCAGCCCTATTGTGGGAGTTTGGGGAGTGAACCAAGGTCTGTCTGTCTCTCTTTTTTTTTCTTATTTTCAAATTATACATTCTTTTTAAAAAAAAAGATTTATTTTTTTATTTATTTGAAAATCAGAGTCAGAGAGGGGGAGACCAGGGCTGGGCCAGGAGCCAGGGGCTCCATCCGGGTCTCCCACGCAGGTGCAGGGGCCCAAGCACTTGGGCCATCTCCTCCTGCTTTCCCAGGCCACAGCAGAGAGCTGGATCGGAAGTGAGCAGCTGGGACTTGAACCCGCGCCCCTATGGGGTGGGCTACCTGCTATGCCACAGCGCTCCCACGTCCCACTCAGTGGCGTGGGAGCCCCAGGAGGCCAGTGAGGACAGGGGCGTGGGGGCGGGGGCACACCTCCCCCTGGACGGACAGACGGACAGGTGCCGGGTCTCCCACACTCCCACTCCAGTAGGCACCTGGACGCCCAGGTCCTCAGCCGTGTGACCCACAGCAGGTGGCGGGCGGGTGGATGTGCCCTCTCCCCTTAGAGGAAGGGGTTCTGACACCTGCTACGGGACCCCTGCGCTGTGAGTGGTGAAGACGCCGGTTAAGGGGCCCAGCCAGAATCCGGGTCCTGAACCCCCTCCCTGCGCGTGCCCACCCCGGGAGGCAGCCGATGCTGCAAGTGCCAGGCCCCTGCCGCCCACGCGGGCGGCCCGGATGGAGCGCCTGGCTCCCGTCCGGTCCGGCCCGGCCCGGCCCCAGCTGTTGCTGGCATTTGGGGAGTGAGCGAGCAGATGGGAGTGGGAATGGGTGTCTCAGCGGGACGACGGAGCGGTGCAGGGGTCCTGGGCCGCATCTGAGTGTAACGACTTCTGAAAGCCACAGCGGGCGCCACTGAGGCGGTCGGGAAGCCAGCAAGAGGGGCGAGACCCCAAGCCCCCTATCCGACGGTGGGGAGCCTGCGGGCCCTGTCCCGGAGGGAGACGGCCGACTCTGGGGGCTGCTGTCCATGACCCCATCTCCCACCAGGAGCCCCTCTTTCTGAACCCACAGTCCGCACGGGCGCCTGGAACACAGATCCCGGCCTGCGGCTGCTCTGCAGGCTGACCCTGGACCCCAGCCCGTCCCTGCCCGCCGAGCCTGAGCGCACGGGCGGCGCAGTTCTCCCTGCGTCCACAGGGGGGCGCCTCCTCCCTTCCGTCCGCCTCTGGTTTTGGGAAGGATCCAGGAGGCCTCCGGGAGCGGCCAGTGCCGCGGCCCACGTGGGGGGCGGCCCGGGGCCTGCGCGCGGGCAGTCGATGATCGCTCGATTGAATAAATGGATGTTCAACCGTGTGGCAAACAGGATGAACCGGGTCTGCACGGCCCGGGCTATGATACGGGAGGCGGCCCCAGGCGGGCTGGGCTGGGCTGGGCTGGGCGAGGGAGGCGCAAGGTCCGGGAGCCCCTGCGTGGTGGGGAGGGGGCAGTGCCGGCCCCTGGACGGTCCCCTGCGGGAGGGCGGTGAGCGCGCCCGTTTCACGGACGGCAAGGGCGAGGCTGGGCGTCGGGGAGGGAGGAGGCCCTGCGGGTGTCCCCTGCTGCCCCCACCAAACCTCAGCTGTCTGCGGTGAGTCAGCCTGGAGCCTGCGGGGCTGAGCCTGGGGGAAGGGGGCGGGGGCCGGGCGGGGAGGGGAGGGGCGGCCGCCGCGCCCTGCAGCTGGCCAGGGCACCCCCAACGCCAGGGGTCAGCAGCCCCGCCCCCAGCGGGCAGTGATTTTCCACGATGATGAAGGGGCGGAGGGTGGCGGGCGTGAGTCCCGGGTCACCTCGCCCATGGGGCAGGCAGGCGAGCCTGTGTGCGCCCTTGTGTCTCCCCCGGCCGTCCGCTCCCTGCTCTGGGGGAGGGGCAGCCTCTGCGAGGGCCCTGTGCCTGGGGTGGACGCGGAAGACCCTGCGGCGCCCCTAGACCGGGGCCTCGGCACGGGCAGGGTCCAGCTCTCTTCTCAGGTTCTGGGGTCGCGCTTGGGATGGTCCCGGCGTGGACTGTGGCTCCGTGTGACCCAGGCCCCGGGCCAGGCGTATGGGCGCACACCTGCTGTCCCTGGGGGGCTCCCTGGCCAGCTGCATGCTGACCCTCTGTGCCTCAGTTTCCCCGCAGGGATTGGCCATGACCTGACAGCCCCAGGTTCAAACCCAGCCTCGGACAGGTGCCTCCACCCCAGGGTCCTGAGGAGCCCCCCGCTGGGGACAGCCTGGCCGCACCTCGGCCCCAGCTGGGGGGGGGGGGACGAGCAGCTGCCCCATCAAGGCCCCGCCTCGCCCTGGCCCTGGCCGGGCTAAGGGCTTAGCCGAGGCCGCAGCAGGGCCAGTCCTGGGCTGTTTTTAAAATTGCTGAAAAATGCATTCGAAAGGCAGGGACAGAGGTCCTCAGTCCGCGGGCTCAGCCCCCACCCGCGGTGACGCCAGCAGGGGCTGGGGCGGGGCCGGGCGGGCGCCAGGGGCCCAGAACTCCATCCAGGCCCCCCTCCCCCGCACTGCTGGGAGCTGGGACCAGGGTGAGGCAGGGGGTGCGCGACCCCTGCCCCGCCCCTCCCCCAGGCCAGGGGGTGTCTGCTGGCACAGACCCCGGGGGCTGGGAGCCAGTTTGCCCGACGGCAGAATGGGCGGGGGGGAGGGGAGGGTGCGTGGTGTCCCTGGACCCTGGAGTCTTCTACCTCAGCGCGCCCCTGGCCACTCAGAGGGTGCCCGGGTGGGGGCGGGGCCTTCTCTTTGGGGAAACTGAGGTCCAGACAGTGGGGGAGGGGAGCTGAGCAGGGCTGCAGGGCACGGCCAGTGGCGCCTCCTCCAGCCCCCGTGCCCACAGCGGCTCCCTGTGGGCTGCAGGTCCGGGGTGGGGACCCCTCTCTACTGCCCCAGGACCCTCAGCCGGGCCTGGGCCCCTCCTTCCTGATCCCTCCCACCCTGTACACAGGCTAGGCACGCGCCCACGCCAGCACCGCCAGGGAGAGCAGGGACCGAGCTGCGCCCACTCCAGATGAGCCCTGCCTGACCTTGAGCGTGACCTCTGGGCCCTGAGAGGAGGGAGGCGGCACCCTCGGACCGTGGCTCTGCCCCCACGCAGCTCTGGCGGACCAGGGTGAAGCCGAGGCCCAGCAACTGGGGACTGAGCTGGGGGCAGGGGCGTGTGTGGGACAGGTCCCCAGGGAGCGTCACTGGGCCCGCAGTGGGTGGGCGGCCAGTCTCCCCTCCCCCACCCCAAGCCCAGAGGTGGGGGATCAATGGCTGGCCTGCACCTGCGGCGTGTACTGAGTCAGTGAGGGCTTGGCTCAGGGCACGAGAAAGCCCCACATATCAACGACTGACACAGGAAGACACGGGGAGACATGGGGAGACATGGGGAGACACAGGGAGACACGGGGAGACACAGGACGACACGGGGAGACACGGGAAGACATGGGGAGACACAGGGAGATACGGGGAGACACAGGGAGACACAGGGCGATACGGGGAGACACAGGGCGACACAGGACTACACCAGGCAACACAGGGAGACACGGGGAGGCACAGGACGACACAGGGAGACACAGGGAGACACGGGGAGACACAGGGCGACACAGGGCGACACAGGGCAACACAGGGAGACACGGGGAGACACAGGGCGACACAGGGCAACACAGGGCAACACAGGGAGACACGGGGAGACACAGGGAGACACAGGGAGACACAGGGAGACACGGGGAGACACAGGGAGACACAGGGCGACACAGGATGACACGGGGAGACACGGGGAGACACAGGGCGACACAGGGCAACACAGGGAGACACGGGGAGACACAGGGAGACACAGGCTGACACGGGGAGACACGGGGAGACACAGGGCGACACAGGGCAACACAGGGAGACACGGGGAGACACAGGGCGACACAGGCTGACACGGGGAGACACAGGGCGACACAGGGCAACACAGGGAGACACGGGGAGACACAGGGAGACACAGGCTGACACGGGGAGACACGGGGAGACACAGGACAACACGGGGAGACACGGGAGATACGGGAAGACACGTGGAGACACAGGACGACACAGGCTGACACGAGGAGACACAGGGAGACAAGGGGAGACACAGGGAGACACAGGGCGACACAGGACAACATGGGGAGACACAGGACGACACAGGCTGACACGGGGAGACACGGGGAGACACAGGACAACACGGGGAGACACGGGAGATACGGGAAGACACGTGGAGACACAGGACGACACAGGCTGACACGAGGAGACACAGGGAGACAGGGGGAGACACAGGGAGACACAGGGCGACACAGGGCAACACGGGGAGACACAGGGAGACACAGGACGACACAGGCTGACACGGGGAGACACAGGACAACACGGGGAGACACGGGAGATACGGGAAGACACGTGGAGACACAGGACGACACAGGCTGTACGAGGAGACACAGGGAGACAGGGGGAGACACAGGGAGACACGGGGAGACACAGGACGACACAGGCTGTACGAGGAGACAGGGGGAGACACAGGGAGACACGGGGAGACACAGGACAACACGGGGAGACACGGGACGACACGGGGAGACACATGGCGACACAGGGAGACACGGGACGACACCAAGCAACACAGGATGACACAGGGAGACACAGAGAGACACAGGGAGACACAGGGAGACACAGGCTGACACGGGACGACGCTCAGGCAGCTCCGGTTCCCCACACTTGATAACCCAGCGCCGCCACCGCCAGTTCCTTTCCCAAAGGACTGCAATCCTCCTCCGTGGGACAGAGCAGCTGCCAAGGCTCCGATCATCACAGCCCAAATCCAGGAAAGACTGGGAAGGGACAGAAAACCTTGCATTTCAAGGAGCCTTCTAGAAGTCACATGCACTTGTATTTTATGAGCCTAGACAGTGTCGGGGGGCACCCAGGAGATCCCTTTGGGGCTCCCACACAAGCCGCACACTCAGAGCCGGAGTGACAAGGGCAGGGGCCCCGGCCAGCCTATGGTCCTTCGTCCTTGTAACGAGGGCCCTGGACACCTGGGCCCAGCCTCTCAGCACCGTCCTGTCTTTTCCGGCGGCCTCGGCACCCACATCCCATAATCAGTGTGCCCGCAGCCTCCAAGGATCAAGGCCTCACCCCGGAAGCCCAGGCACCCGGTCACTCCTGGCCGCCGGGACACCTGCCCTGTCCGGCCAGGTGGGACCTGTGTGTGGCTGGGGTGGGGAGGGGTGGGGGGCCCTGCACCCAGCACGGAGCTGGGAACGCCACAGAGTGCGGCCCCGCCAGCTCGCGGGTCCCCTGGCCGGGGCAGTGAGGGCAGGACACAGCCGTGAGGCTCGGGTCTGTGGGCCGCGCTGCCGGCTACCACGAGGTGTCCACCAGGCTCCAGAGGTAGTCGCTGATGAACTTCTTGGAGAGCTGAGTGCTGTCCAGGTGGATGGGCTGCGCCACGCTGGGGCCGTGGTGGACTGAGGCCGGAGGCAAGGAAAACCCCGGCTGGCAGGGACGCTGCCCGGCCCCGCCCCCAGGTCCCTGGCCACGCCCCCGGGTCCCCCTGCCTGGCCCCACCCCCAGGTCCTCCTGCCTGGCCACGCCCCCGGGTCCCTGGCCCCACCCTCGGTCTCAGCTCCTGGCCCCTGCCGCCTGGCCCCGCCCCCACACGGCTCTGGCTGACAGGCGTCTGCAGTGAGCGGCCGCGGATGGGCGCGCCGTCACCACCTTCCTGGCTCCTGGGCTCGGTCCCGAGCTCATCACCAGCCACTTCCAGAACTTTCTCAGCTTCCGAACCCAAGGAAAGGCCCCCTGCCTGGCCCCGCCCCCGGGTCCCCTGCGTGGCCCGCCCCCAGCCCTGGCTCGCCCACTCTACTTCCCGCCCCAGGGGCTCCAGCGCCCGGCTGCTTGCTTGCTTTCTCTCTCTCTCTCTTTCTTTCTCTCTCTCTCTCTCTCTCTTTTTTTTTTTTTTTTTTTTTGACAGGCAGAGTGGACAGTGAGAGAGAGAGACAGAGAGAAAGGTCTTCCCTTGCCGTTGGTTCACCCTCCAATGGCCGCCGCGGCAGCCGGCGCACCGCGCTGATCCAATGGCAGGAGCCAGGATCCAGGTGCTTTTTCCTGGTCTCCCATGGGGTGCAGGGCCCAAGCACCTGGGCCATCCTCCACTGCACTCCCTGGCCATAGCAGAGAGCTGGCCTGGAAGAGGGGCAACCGGGACAGAATCCGGCGCCCCAACCGGGACTAGAACCCGGTGTGCCGGCGCCGCAAGGCGGAGGATTAGCCTAGTGAGCTGCAGCGCCGGCCCCGGCTGCTTTCGCCCCACGCCGGTCCCCAAGGCCCGCTCGTGCGCCTCAGTGCACAGGCAACCGCGTCCGCAGGCCATGGACACCCGAGCGGCTCCCACCCGTGGGGCACTGCCAGTAGCCACTGTGCAAATGTGGGGGCATCCCCCGCTTCCAACTGCTCCACGGAGACACTCAGATGAGTGATGGGGGTGGGGGGAGAGGGAGATCGGGCCGCTGTCTCACTCCCCAGGGGCCACACAGCCGGGCAGAAGCCAGGAGCCAAGAGCTCCTCCTGGCCTCAGGCGTGGGGGCAGGGCCCTGCCCGGACCATCCCTGCCGCCCCCCAGGGCACCAGCTGACCCCATTCCTGATGGAGGATACTGCCTTTGATGGCCCCCGGCTCGCACTCATAGTCCCACTCGATCTTACTGCTGCGGCGGTAGAGCTGCGCCACGTACCTGGGGGGGGGGGGGACGGGAGAGGGAGCACGGTCAAGGTCGGGTCGGGGTCGGGGTCAGGGTTGGAGTCAGGGTCAGTGTTGGGGTCAGGGTCGGGGTCAGGGTCAGAGTCAGGCGGGCGCTGGATCGGGGCTGCGCACACACGCGCTCACGAGACCTACACGGCGGCGGGGATGGTGACGGTCACGTCCTCGTCCACCTCCCTCTCCTGTCTCTCCAGCTCTGCCTCTGTCTCCTTGAGCTCCTGCAGCTCCCGGCTGAGCTGGGTGCGGGAGTTAAGGACCCTGGGGGAGGCCACGCGCCCCCGCCCCGCCCCGCCCCGCAGGAAGGATATAGCAGGCCAGCCTGCAGCCCCGCCCCGCCCCGCCCCGCGCGCAGAAAGGCTATAGCAGGCCAGCCTGTGGCCCCGCCCCGCCCCGCCCCGCAGAAAGGCTATAGCAGGCCAGCCTGTGGCCCCGCCCCACCCCGCCCAGCCCCGCCCCACGCGCAGGAAGGATATAGCAGGCCAGCCTGCAGCCCCGCCCCGCCCCGCCCCACGCGCAGGAAGGATATAGCAGGCCAGCCTGCAGCCCCGCCCAGCCCCGCCCCGCCCCGCCCCACGCGCAGGAAGGATATAGCAGGCCGGCCTGCAGCCCCGCGTCCTCGGCCGCCGCCCGCTGCAGCTCGGCGTCCAGCTGCTGCAGCTCGGCGCCGCCGCGGTGCGCCCGCTCCTTGGCGTCCAGCAGGCTCCGCGCCACCTCCTCCTCGGCGGCCAGGATCTCTGCGGGACGGGCGGGGAGAAGCGGGCTGCCCAAGGTCCGTCCGGCCCCCAGCCTGCCAAGGGGCGGACCCGGAACCGGCACACGGACCCTCACCCCAACAGCGTTCGGGACGCCACCGGCTCTAAGGCTGGGGCGTAGGGCCACCCCCTGGGGCGTGGGAGCGCGCGGCAGCTTCGAACCCAGCATCCTGCAGACCTGCACCTGCCGCTGCCCCACAGCAGACCTGGACGGGGCCGGCCACGCAGGCAGTGTGGGAGTGAACGGCGGACGGAAGACCTCTGCCACTCCCCGCTTTAGCTCATCAGATCACAGCCCGGGGCTGGACCCCGGTTTGACCCCGCCCCGCCCCGTGCCCTCCCCTCCCCAAACCTGCGACCTCACGCTCCCTTCACACCCGGTCCCCAGGCTCATTCCACCTCCCCACGTTTGCCTCTGCCGCCTGTGGCTACTCCGCTTCCGATCCAGCCCCCTGCTGACGCCCAGGGAAGGCAGTGGAGGAAGGCCCAAGTGCTGGGGCCCCTGCACCTGCCTGGGAGACCCGGATAAAGCTTCAGCTGGGCTCAGCTCTGACCACTGCGGCCATTTGGGGAGTGAACCAGCAGATGGAAGACCTGTGTGTGTGTGTGTGTGTGTGTGTGATTTTGCCTCTAAAATAGCAGAGCCCACGGCGGCCGGGTGGAACCCCGATCCCTCCGTGATCCCCTCGTGGGCCCACCCAGAGGAAGGAGCCTGCACCCCACGTCCCCCGCGGTCACTACGCACAGCAGAGGCGGTGCCGGGGAGGGCTCGGACCCAGCCACGCACGCACGCGCTCAGGCTGCCTGCCTCCCGCGACGGGAGGCCCCCACGGAGTAGCCCCCAAACAGAAGGCAGCGTCCCAGGGCAGGGGGGGAGGGGAGGGGCTAATGGGCGGGGTCGCACCGCAGGGGCTCAGTGGGACTCACCCCACCACACCCTCAGCACAGCTCCGGTGCGCGTGTGGGGCAGGGGGCGGGCTCCCTCCAACAAGCCCAGGGGCCCCAGCGACACCACCCCTGCTGGGTTCGCTCAGTCTGCCTGGCTCGGGGAGGGGCGGGGGCACCCCATCTGGCTCTGCCCCAGAGGGTGTGGCCCGGAGCTGCAGACCCCTGGGTTCCGCTGCCCCCCCCCCCGCATACGGCCCACTCGACTGGGTCCCTGCTACCCGCGCAGTCGCGCAGTCCGGGGCCTGGGCGGAACTCCTGGGGTCGCCCTGGGCATCCGGGGGGTGAAGTGGGTGGCAGGTCCCTGTGTGTGGGAGGTGAGGGGGCATAATAGGGTCAGCCACCATCTCTGAAGCTGGCACCCCATACGGGCGCCGGTTGGAGACCCGGCTGCTCCACTTCCCATCCAGCTCTCTGCTGTGGCCTGGGAAAGCAGTGGAGGATGGCCCAAGTGCTTGGGCCCCTGCACCCATGTGGGAGACCCGGATGGAGCTCCTGGCTCCTGGCTTCAGGCCAGCCCCAGCCATGGCGGCAACTGGGGGGTGAACCAGCTCCCCGTCACTCCGCATTTCAAAAAAATAACAAATATTATACATTTTTTAAGAGTTTGCGGCGAATAAAATTATAAGGTAAATTTATTTGGGTGCACAGAAATATTCAAAAAAACCCGTGCATTTTTTTTTTATAATATGCGGTTTTCATGCGCTTTTAAAAGACCTCTTATTTGCGTGAATTTCAACATTTTTTTTTAGGACAAAATAAGCTCATTTTTAAATTCCGTTTTCCCACAAGCTTCCCAAAACGTCCCTGGCGTTTCTCCCTCCCCTCCAAGCCACCTCGACCCGGGAGCCAGCGCAACGGAACCATGGGGCACCTGAAGCTCTCGCCCACCCCGCCACGCCCCTCGCACGCTCCGATCTGTCGGTCCTGCCCCCCGCTGCACCCGGCAGCCGAGGAACCCGAGGCAGGAAGCGCCCAAGAGCCGCCCCCGGCCCCCAGCCGGCAGGTGCGCGCCCCGGAGCGGCCCCGCCCCCCCCGCCCCGCCCCCGCCCCGCGGGCCGCTCGGACGGGGCCACACCCGGCGCTCAGGCCCGGCCCCGGGAGCCCATTCCACGGGTGGGGAAACTGAGGCCCGGGGCGGGAGTGGGGGGCCCCCGAGGCCAACCCGGCCGCCCCGCCCCGCCGCGGGGGCCTCACCTCGGAGCCGCTGCTCGCCGCTGTCCTGCGCCTCCAGCAGCCGCTCCACCAGCTGTTCGTGACGCCCCAGCAGCCGCCGGTGCTGAGACTCGGCACGGTTGGCGCCCAGCAGGCTCAGCAGCCCCTGGCTCACCTCCTCGATGTCGCGGAAGGCCGCCATGACGAGACCCGCGCGCGCAAATTTGACTGCCCGCGGGGCCCGCCCCATGACCCCGAGCCTCCAGTTCCCATTGGTTTGAATCTCCGTCACTCCGCAGCAATGGCCAAACAGACGCAGGGAGGGGCGGCGGAAGGCGGGAGACAACCTGGGCGGGGCCTGGCGCACCCGCGCTGGTTCTTCCGTCAGTCATGACCGATGGCCAATCAGCGCAGAGTGGGGACGGCTCGGGGAGGCGTGGCCGACGCGTCTTATAAGGCCAAGCTGTCCTTATATTCGGGTTGCTGCTGCCCGCAGGACGCGGTTCTAAGGGCGAAGCGGGGGGCTAGCGGCTCACGCAGATAACGTTCTGTGTGCGTGGGATACACAAAACAAAACTAGCAAATAGATCCTGTAGGGAGTCTGCAGCTAGATGTTTGGGGTTCAAATCCCAGCTTTGCAATGCAGTAGCTGTGTTATGCTGGGCTGGGCTGGTTGCTTGCTTTCAAAGGAGGCTCAGACTGGCGCCCCCCAGTGGCTCGTGCCCTGCATTGTCTGCAAAATAGAATAGAAAAAAAAAATCCAGAAATGCAGAAAGCTGTGTTCCGGCAAGTGCTGAACCCTGTGTTGTTTTGGGTGTGGCCCAGTTGTGGAGAAACTGGAATCCAAGCAGGAATCCGTGCAGCGACTAGAATGAGGCAGCGAGGAAACTGACTTCCAAGGCCAAGTCCCCGACTGGAACACACTTTTAAACATTTATTTGAGCTGGCGTCTCGTATGGGAGCTGGTTCGTGTCCCAGCTGCTCTCCGATCCAGCTCCCTGCTGACGGCCTGGGAAAGGCACCGGAAGATGACCCGGGTCTCTGGGCCCCTGCCACCCATGTGGGAGACCCAGGAGAAGCTCTGGCCATTGTGGCCATCTGGGGAGTGAACTAGCGGCTGGAAGATCTCTCTCCATCTTGCCCTCTCTCACTGTAACTCTGACTTTCAAAATAAATAAATCTTGACAAAAAAAAAAAAAAACCTTTTTGAGGGAACATTCCATCCGCTGACAACTCAGTGTCCTACAATAGACAGGGCCAGGCTGAAGCCAGGAGCCGGGAGCTCCATCCGGGTCTCCTACGTGGGTGGCAGGGCCCAAGGACTTGAGCCATCACCTGCTACCTCCCAGGGTGCCCATTAGCAGAGAGCTGGAGACAGGAGCCGGAGCCTCCTGGACTTAAACCGATGTCTTCCAGTATGAGACATGGATGTCTTAATGGCTAGGCTAAACTCCTCCCACCTCAGCCCTTTTCAGCCTAAAACGCACCTCCTATGCTCAGCTCATCAAAACACTCTATGTAGGGGCCGGCGCTGTGGCGTAGCGGGTAAAGCTGCCACCTGCAGTGCCAGCTCCCATACAGGTTCGAGTCCCGGCTGCTCCACTTCAGATCCAGCTCTCTGCTACAGCCTGGGAAAGCAGCGGAAGATGGCTCAAGTCCTAGGGCCCCTTGCACCTGCATGGGAGACCCAGACGGAGTTCCCAGCTTCAGGCTTCAGCCAGGCTGAGACCCATCCCTGGCTGTCACAGCCGTTTAGGGAGTGAACCACCAGATGGAAGATCTGGAAGATTTCTCTCTCTCTGTATTTCAAATAAATAAATAAATCTTTTTAAAAAAATGCACATAACATCCACACTTTTTTTTAATAACATACACCTCTTGGGAGATCCAAAATCCCCACAGGCCACCCTTAAATGTTGAGGTTAAGGATGCCCCTGGTGCAGGTGTTGGGTTTGGTCATTAGGGGGCACCCGCATCCCACATCCCGTGCTGGGTTCACGTTCCAGCGCCACATCCGATCCAGCTCCCTGCTGCTGCAGACCCCGGGAGGCAGCCGTGGTGCCTGGAGTGCTTGGGCCCCGCACCCATGTGGGAGACCTGGATGAAGCTCCGGCTCCTGGCTTGACCCCAGTGCAGCCCTGCTTGTTGTGGGCATTAGTGGGGAGAGAACCAGTGCCTGGAAGAACTCGCTTCTGCTTCTCTGGCTTTAGAATTAATGAATGAATTAATTAATTAATATAAATTTAGGAGGGGGGAATCCGCCCAGCCTAGGAGAGCAGGGTTCCGAGGAGCTCACGGCACTCGTGGAAGCGACAGCACCTTCACTGTTTCCTGCACAAATATTGGTATCCGGGCACAGAACCAGCTACTTAGTGCTGAGTTTGCAACGTTGAGGTTGCTCGCTCACCATTTGGCTTCTGGAATCAGCTGTGTGACGTCTGGCATTGAATTTAGCTTCTCTGGACCTAAAGGGGGGTGAGTTACATAACGGGGCAGAGTGTGATAAAGAAAAGACCTTGAATTCAATGGCATGCGGGATGGGAGGGGGGGCTCTGAGGGTTTACCTGTGACCTTGACAGGTTGGAAGGATTTTAACCTCTCTTAGCCCCAGAAGCTAAAGATAGCCCTCTCTTATCTGCAGGGGCCGGGTGTCCCAGAGGGCCCTGCATATTGTGCAAGCCAGAGCCTGAGAGATAAAAAATGCTCGTGTCCAAAACAGGCCACCCAAACTCCAAGCCAGAGGCGTCTCCCAGCCCTGCCAAGTGGGCTCTCTCCAGCCCCAGAAAGCAACAAAGTAATAAGTGCTGATGAGGAGCCGACACATTGTAACCCACATGTGCAGCTGCGGGGCCAGAGTCTGGCCACTTCCACCACACATTAAAAATAGAATTACCCTATCAGCGATTCCACTTCTAGGTATACACCCAAAGAATTGAGAGCAGGAACTGGGACAGAAATTTGCATGCACATATGTTCATCACAGCTTTCCTCACAGCAGCCAAAATGTGCAAGCAACCAAGAGTTTCCGAGCCCATGAACGGGTAGAGATGTGGCGGATCCTGACAGTGCATACAGAAGGAGGGAGATTTTGACACCTGCTACGGCGTGGAGGAACCTTGGGGACACAATGCTCAGTGACAGAAGCCAACACATTAACACAGAGAGAATGAGACTCACACACGCATACACACACATACACACACATGCCAGGAGCCCAGAACTCCATCTGGGTCTCCCACGTGGATGCCAGGGACCCAAGCACCTGCTGCCTTCCATGCACACCAGCAGGAAGCCGGATCAGAAGTGGAGTAGCCAGGACAAACTTGGCACTGCAGTATGGGATGCCAGCACCGTGGCGCAGGGGGTAAAGCCTCTGTCTGCAATGCCAGCATCCCATATGGGCGCCAGTTCGAGTCCCGGCTGCTCCACTTCCGATCCAGCTCTCTGCTAATGCTCCTGGGAAAGCAGCAGAAGATGGCCCAAGTGCTTGGGCCCCTGTAACCATATGGGAGACCTGGGAGAAGCTCCCGGCTCCTGGCTTCAACCGTTGCGGCCATTTGGGGGTGAGCCATTGTCTGGAAGACATCTATTTTCTCTCTCGCTCTTTCAAATACATAAATAAAGTCTTTAAAAAGCAAACAAGCAGAATGATGGCCAGAGGTGAATGAGGCCAGAGTTTCGGTTTTGCAAGATCAGAAACATTTTGGAGGTAGATGGTGGTGACGATTGCACAACAGTGCAAATATACTTAAAATGCCACTGAACTGGAGACCTACAAATGCCCGAGATAGTCAGCTTTGTGTTTATTTTACCCGAAATAAAAATACACTTTAAAAAAAAAAGCTGGAGGCCGGGTGGTGGAGCTGGGGTGAGGTTTTGAGCGTGAGCTGGACAAGACGGGGAAGCTGACAAATTGCCCCGGCAGTTGCTGTGTGGGAAACGATTTTTCTGATTTCCTACAGGCGCCTTCTTGGCTCAGACAGGCCTCTGGGAAACAGACCAGAGCGATCGGCCTTCCGCTCCGAAATACGCTGCTACGCGTAACATCCCTGGGACTTCCAGAAACCTCGGAAAACTATGCATTATCTCCAAGCTGAGCAGCCCGCCAGGAGGCCAGGGATGGAGGCGGAGGGGCCTTGGGGTGCCCGGAACCCCCCACACCACACACACTTCCTGCCTGGAGCTGCATGACTGGGGCGATCCTTCCCGTTGCAAAATGCATGGAGCCATACACATTTGTGCACAAAACACATGTGTGTAAAAACTCAAAATTAGGGGCAGGCCCCACATGGGAGATCTGGCTGAAGCTCCTGGCTCCTGGTTTTGGCTTGGCCCAGCCCCGGCTTTTGTGACTATGAGAAAAGTGAACCAGTGAATGGAAGCACCCTCTCCGTCTCTCTCTCCAACTCAGCTTGTCAAATAAATAACAATAAATCTTTAAAAAAAATTAGGGCCGGCGCCGCGGCTCACTAGGCTAATCCTCCGCCTTGCGGCGCCGGCACACTGGGTTCTAGTCCTGGTCGGGGCACCGGATTCTGTC